AATACTTTAATTGTACTATAGTTTTTTATCACAGATATCTATATTTAAAACTATCACCTGTGTACAAATCACAAAATATTAAAAACAAACGTATGTTCGAACGTCAAAAATGACAATGATAAATTTCAACAAAACTACCAATATCTGGTATGCACATGAAATTCATTAAAGTAAAAAGATATAAAGGTATAACCAGATGCAAATATGAACAAAACACAAGGACCGAATAAGTTAGATATTTACATTTGTACAATGTTTATGTCTAGGTTAGTCTATGAAAAGGTATATACTATGAAATTTAGAGCGAGGGGCTTGCCCCGAGGTCTTAATTTCATAGTATATACCTTTCCATAGACTATCCAATTTAGCACATATTTACAACTCGAGTAATCTTTTAATTGGTCTATTGATAGTTTATTTTGGCTGACTACTTGTATCACAGGTGTTTGTAAAACGGAGCTCATTAACGAATTTTGTAAATCTACTCACTAGTATCATTGTAAAATATGTGATTTCAAAAGGCCCTTCACTCCAGAATGAAAAGATGGTAGCTGCTGGTGTAAGTATGCATACTGATATAAAGCGGTGTTTTACTATACATGTTCTTCTTACAAGGTAAGATGACAACATAAATTGACCAAAAGCAGGCAATAATTAAATTGCAGTGGAAGCTTTACATGTTTTGAAAACATTTTTTTAATTTCACAGTAAAACTTAAGCTATAATAAATTTGAAACATATAGATAATTTGTCCCCAAAGATATAGTCTAGCAGATAGGCATTAAAAAGCAACTACAAATAGATCAGAGATTATAGGTTTTGTGTTTTTTTTTTTTATTAGTTCAAAGTAAAAACTAAAAGATTTATCAGAATATGTTTATATATATATATATATAGGTGGCACATTATCTTCAGACATAATCACAGTTTTTCAATTCATGACATCGTCCTGAACATGCATGAAATATTTGCCACTGGACATTAAGCAACCAATAATCAATAAATCAATCAATTCATGACGAAATAGATCACTTTCCTTAAGAAAGTTTAAAAAATTATCACCAAGTTGCTTTAATTTTCCTTCACAAGGTTTCATAGAACACACTTTTCTGTGTACAAAGTAATTGCATGAATGATACATTATCATAATTTTAAGATATCGTTGTACTCTAATCAAGGTATAAAGAACCATATGTATTACCCTTTATTTAAATGGTAAAATTTGCAATTGTCAAAAATATTTTTTAGATCCAAAGATTTTAATAGCAGGATATTTGAAAGTCAATGTGAAAACTAATTACAAACTATTTAACTTAATTTGGAACACAGCATTTTATTTCAAAATAGCCAGTGGCAATTTTTGTTTTAAATATCTTGATTACGATACAATGAAATCTTACCCTTGTGGTCATTCATGCGTAGTTACTTAGTACACAGGAAAAGTATGTACTATGAAAATTAGAAGGCAAATATAAGCAATTTGATTGGACGAGAAGTTGTAAGTATGTGCTAAATAACGGATGTTTTTCTGTCATAAACTTATTTCTGTGCAATTAAAAGCTGAAGGTCCGTCACAAAAATATATGTTTCAAGATACACACTTTTTTTTATACCAGCACAGATAGTTCAGAGCAAATTAACTTTTATTAATCACTAGTGGTTTTCTTCAAATTAGTCTTATAAATCAAAGAGTAAAAACTGTTTAACTGGTGAATTATTGAGTCAGGCATTTCGTTTCCGCAAACTTATTAAAACCTTTACAAAATTCTTTCATAGATACAAAGATTTGGTTTGGACATTTTGTTGCACATATATAAACCTATTACAAACAGTATATCACATCCTACTTTACACGATGATGTTATTTATAGAGCCCTAAATTTAAGTACGATCCATGTAAACTTATTGATCCTTTGAATACACTTTTTAACAATGTAGTAAGACCTTTGAATATTGTTTTCATCGGTACTAACATTGATATTACTTTTAATAAATTGAAATATAACTAAATTTGCATTGCTATACAGTTATGAACACTTATGGTCGTACACACTGTGTGTGTAATTATATTTCCGCATTGTACAAGGTCTTGCTTTTCTCAGACTGGTTATGACGTTATTTCACTAAATCCGTTCGATGTGTACTGATTGATATTTCAGTCTAAAGACAACATGGTTCATTATTTGTTGAAATCAGCCTTGAACTGGTTTTCAGTATCTGCAAGTACTCTTAGATCGGTATTGTGTGTCTTTTTGTTATTTACTATTTTTTGCTTCTTGTCGATATGACGAGTCTAGTCCTTTCAAACGGAAATCAACATTTTTTTTCATTGTTGTGCTGTTACACCACCGTCCCAGGTTAGTGAAGGATTGAGCGCTCACAAACATGTTTAACCCCGCCACATTTTATGTGTGCTCCCTCGTCAGGAACCTGTAATTCAGTGGTGATCGTTGATTGCTTTCTGTCAGATTTGTTTGTCGTTTACTGCTTTTAGCATACATCAGACCGTTGCATATGAAAAAGACTATTCATCATTTGAGGTTGAAAAGTTGTGAAACAAAGAAGTTACAGATTTTTTTTATTAATTTTCAAGTTACGTTCTTCGTGCATGGGTCAAGAATTACACGAACGTTATATCAAATTGAGAATGGAAATGGGGAATGTGTCAAAGAGACAACAACCCGACCATAGAACAGACAACAGCAGAAGGTCACCAACAGGTCTTCAATGCAGCGAGAAATTCCCGCACCCGGAGGCGTCCTTCAGCTGGCCCCTAAACAAATATATATACTAGTTCAGTGATAATGAACGCCATACTAAACTCCAAATTGTACACAAGAAACTAAAATTAAAAATAATACAAGACTAACAAAGGCTAGAGGCTCCTGACTTGGGACAGGCGCAAAAATGCGGCGGGGTTAAACATGTTTATGAGATCTCAACCCTCCCCCTATACCTCTAGCCAATGTAGAAAAGTAAATATGTATGACTACTGTCAAATGATGCATAGGTCAGACAACTTTCGTGCAGAAAACTCGGGTGTTAAATAGGCAAAATGTTTCAACAGGACAATGCACGGCCGAATACAGCAATGGTTACCATGGATTTCAATACTCAGAACATGGCCGCCAAATTTGAACCCAATAGAACATCTTTTGGACGAACTTGATAGACGCGTCCCCCAATGCAACCTCCAACTTAATCATCGGACCAACTCACTTAAGTATTCGAACGTGTATTTCATGTAATAAATAAGGTGTAATACTACCAAAACATAGTACGTCACGTCAAAGGAGTGAACATTTGATTTGTGTACTTCCTTTGATGGCTATTATCTTATATGTAATGAAATGATTTGTGAAATTTTCACTGTAGTACTGGACAAGAAAAACTTTACTCATATTAAGTATTTCTTTATTTGAAACAAAGATAAATTCTGCACAATTTAAAAAAAAATGCTAATTTAACAACGACTAATACGGGGAAAAAAGGTGGTATTACCCCTAAGGCCAATTATATCAAAGGTACGATCATTAAATTTAATTCGATACATGACAAGGAGATTCAGAACAGTTTTAGCCGCACTTGGTGGTCCTGTAAGGTAAAAGGAAATTGACCCAATTCATCGTACGTGTTTTTTTCCAATCTTTGTTCAATTTCCTTTATAACACACGCGTGTGAAGTTTAAGCTCAATATGCCAAAGCATTGCTGTAAAAATCGATCTAAACCACACAGAATAAAGTTTTGAAAAAAATTACATTATATATGTATATATATCATTTCATGTGTTAAAGGGAAACTAGCTACGAGATATATAAAAAATCTAAAGTAGGATTTTTTTTTTGTTCAATCATTAATGAAAGTGAAATAGTGAAATAATAATTCGCTTTTAGCAGCAAGTATGGTTCAATTTTGACAAAATAAGCTAAGAAACATTGGAGATTAATTATTCACTTTCAAGTGAATAATTCGACCACATTGAATCCGTATTCATGTGAACTTCAATTTAACCCCTTAGCTAGAGATGGATAACGCATGAATCGTGCGTGATCAGTCATTTAAAGGAAAAGAATGTCAACATTGAAAGTGGAACAAAGGTAAATCATTTGATTGACTGATTCGATTGACAAAAAAATCATTCTTATATAGGTAAAAACGATGATTAACATATATTTTTAATCTACATAATAATATGAAATTAAATAGACCTAGAAAAATCCAATTGCACGAGTTCGCTTAATCTATTTATATCTATATTTATGTTTATATACCTTATATAACCATCGGAGATTTTCTGAGGTCAACTCGATAGTTAATTAGATGGCGTCTAGACTAGAATACACACGAAACGAAGCTACATATCATCGAGCCCATGCTCTGTAAATTGTTTATTTTAGACTTTTAATAATTTGGATAAATGTTTTACATTGTTATAAATCAAATATGAGAATTTAAGTCAAATCGATCCACATGAATTTGACAGCTAGTGCCCCTTTAATATGAACTAGACTTATAGGCATTTTAAAACAATGCTTTAAAAAAAGGCCGTTCCGTTCTCTCCTTACCTGTCCTATAAAGATTCGTGTATTAAATCCTTAGTTAACGTTGCTGCGATATTCAATAAATCACCTATAACTAAATAAGTACATATAATGGAATTAAGATAAAACTTTCATAAACCTGTCTCATATCAGGTGAATTTATTATCGAAAAATTTTTAAAAGGTCATCGATTCTTTTCAAATCCAGTGATCAATTATAGACACTTTTATTCCAAATCAGTAGCATGTATACTACAGTCGATTAAGGTACATAAGTGTCCCTGGGAGATATACATGTTATTTTATGAGTGAGTGTAGTACATACATATACATTTTCTAATCTTATCTCAAATGAACGTGTCTTTAGGATATGTGTAGAAACAGAAATACACACGTTGAATGAGAAACTATACAGTATCTATAAAAACAATTGGATTTAGTATGTCCGGATGTAAGTATCCGTTACACTACTTACTTTTTACATCGACAATTTACATAGTATAATAACCCGGAGAACTACACACATTCTAAATGTTTGTAACAAATCTTTCATGACGAGACAGGAATGCGTTTACTATCGTTTATTGATTTATTTCACATTATTCATGGTAAGAATTTGCATACAATACTGGATTTGTTTTAATTATACATTGAAAAGTACTAGTAAAACTAATTGGTCAACAGAAAATGTGGTATTGTCATTCACAGGGCATAACTTATGTCAACCAGATTTCCCATGTCACAATGAAGGGGAAATCATTCATACAAACCAGATCTTTGTCAGATTATTTCCTCGAGCAATAATTTTTAAAACAAGGTGATAATTCTGTCTGATCCTTTTGTACAACATGTACAATAGCCAATGTAAAAAAGAGCTATGTACACTTGATAATACATGTAGGATTTACTGTGTGCGTGGCTACTTGTTGCATGCCCTTTTCACTAGGCATTTTGTATGCAAAGACTGCAGGAGCGTGGCTACATTAACGTCAAAACGCTCGGGCGTACAGATCATCTAAATATAAATAAATTAAACAAATGACCAATTTAAAGCACCGGAGTCTTCAACACATGATTAATATCTTCTTTGACTTATAATTGTCGGTTATAAAAGCTCAAAGAGCTTATGTTTATTTGTTATTTGACATGCCGACTATAAATAAAGCTTTGAATTGAATTGAATAAATAGCTTGATCTGGTTAGAAAAACAATTTAATGTCAAGTCGATTTGAGTTAAAAAAAACTGCTTAAAAACTAAATTTTTAACAAATAATTACCACATGCAAATAAATACAAAAATTCAAAACACTCTTACCCTAAGAAGCGGGAATATGGGAATATTTTGCTGAATGTGTACTTTAAGGTTATTGCTCCTAAATTGCTGTAAATATCATGTACTTTTTCATATTATATCGTCCTTACTAAGTATCAATTCAAGGAAAACTATTTTTATGAAATCTCGTCAAATTCTTCCTTCATTGAACTTCGAATAAATTGAGGTACGATTGTCGCTGTCGATGAGACTTAAGGCAGGATTTCCTGTGCTATTCTAACATTTGGTATCTTTGGTGGCTTTTAAGGGATTGTTTTTCATGCCCTACACTGATTAGTGCTAAAGTACATAAATTTATATGTATGCTATGTTCGACCTGATATTTAAAGGGGCATTAGCTGTTAAATTCATGTTCACCGATTTGACTCAAATGATTTATAACATACTATAACGTATATCCAATATGGATTCGATAATATATATCGGCATTTCGTGCGTATTTTAGTCTAGACGCCATTTAATTAACCATCGAGATGACACCCGAAGACTGCCGACGATCGTATAACCCGATATAAACATGAATATAAATATAAACAGATAGCGACCACGTGCAGTTTAATTTTTCTGTGTCTGTTTGGTTTCATGTTAATAAGTTAATCATCGTTTTAACCTGTATAAGAATGATGTTTTATGGATCGAATCAGTCAACGAAATGGTTCACCCTTGTTTCACTTTCAATGTTGACATCCTTTTCTTTATTATTGCTGAACACGCATAGTACATGTGTAACCCATCTCCACCAGACTCAAGCTAGCGACCAATTCCAGCGACCAATCAAGCTAGCGACCAATTCTATCGACCACTAAACTTAACAATGAGCATCAACACGTTAGAGAATCATTCAGAGATATGTCTGAAAATCACAAATTGACATTATGCTACAACGTTCTACTTATAAGAAATACGTAATATATCGCTTTTAAATGTTTAATGGACCACATATGTCTACATTTGCAATAAATAGGGGACGGAATAATAAATACATATCCTTTTAGAAAGGAAAAAGTAATTAATTTTGTTTAAGTTTTACTTTGGATTTCAATCTTTCTAACAATTAACGTGAGTAGCGTGCTTGCTCAAGGCTTATGCTCTAAATCAGTAATTCAGTATTTGAAGATTTTATATTACATGGCATTATACATTTATATAAAATAGAGATCTTCGTTCCTTGCAAAAAATGAATGAAAAAAAAACAATAAAAAAAAACAAAACAAGTTAAAAAAACCAAAAGTATCTGGAATGTTATTTGTTTGCGATACTTTAAACCAGGAACATATATATATATGTTCCCAGTTTAAACTAAGATTTTTAACGTGTAACAATAACTACATATAGTAAAGATGAATTAATAAAAGGCAATCTTAGTACATAACGGCTAAACCAACTCTCAAGATTCAGAGGTGTATTAAGTATTGTAGAACAGAATAAAACAATCTTAGTACATTAGTGCAGATGTCAATTTACGGTGAGAAAAATAAAAAGTTAAACTGAACAAGAAAGACGCTATATGCGGTAGAAAAATCATATAACGGCTTTCTATACTCTCGGCATCCTCAAATATCGTGTATTTCCTTAAAATCCCTTTAGGTAAAGAATTACTATATCGGCCCGGTCAAAAAGAACATACTAGAAAGTATTACATATTTCAAACAAAAAAGTTCCTATGCATTAAGCCAAAACTTTGTCAATAAGTGAAATATTTGGTTTATTTTGGTATAAATGAAAGTTTAATCACTTGGGATCACTATAGGACCCTTGTTGAAAGTCTCTTTTGAATGATAAAAAAAAAAGAAATTATAAAGCAGGGAATATTTGCCCTGTTGCTCAGATTTTGCTCAGTACCTGTTTTTGTACTTCCAAATTTCCGGGAACCAGTCAACACATATAGGTACTGTTATGCTGATTTTTTTCCAGGAGAAGTAATGATAATGTATATTTTGCCATTGAATTACTGTCATATAATTTGAAGTTAGGACAATGGTTATTATTTTTACCATACTGGGTAAAAGGGCCGGACGGGGGTGCACTTTCCCACCCGGGCATTTCCATGAATAAAAGGGCCTGGGACAAGCTTTCAATCCCACTAGGTGTGGGTAAAAACTTTGCCGTAGGGAACTGTACACAAAGACTGAAAAATGTGCCCATACCCATAATTGATAGGTAACTCAGACTTTGGGTGGCCAGTGAAGTCTTTAGGTGCACTTTCCCACCCAGGTATTCATATGAGTTGAAGATATGGACAAGCTTTCAATCCCACTAAAATGAAAAGCATATATCTATAAGCTATTTTGAAGAAATTTCCTCGATCAGACATAGACCTTACATTAAGTACATGGAGAAGTTAGTTCGTTGGAAGAAATTTCTTCTAATCAGAAACTCCATGAATGTTTTCGAAAGTTATTAATGTCTTTAATTAAAAAACTTACCCAAGAGTCTATATTTTTCATGAAGAAGCTTTTCTCGGAGTTTCACCAAATTTCATAAAGACTCATAAAAGTGTAATTGACGTCTAAAAACTTAAAACTTAGACTGTAGCTATATGTTAAGTTCAAAAAAGAAATTTATCCGTTAATCAATAAAATTTGGAAAAATTACCTGGAATACTATAGATAAACATCCTGTCTCGTGGTATCATACGAGTCTCAAATTCAGGATTTGTTAAGTAACTTCCCTCTTAGAACAAAATCTTTAAAAAGAGTGTAGCGCTGTGTCTCCATTATTACGTTAAAGCGTTATTTGGGAGTAAATGTTATAAAACTACATTCATCTATTAAAGGTTCAAGGACATCTTGTGTTAATTTCGGCAAAATCTGAATTTGGAATATCCCTATAAAAACAGGTGTTATAATGTTATCATTTATTTCGACCACTAACTGAAATTAATTCCTTTTTTTTATCTTAATAGATACTCGTAATCACGTCACATAATTAAAGTACTAAGAATATTACCCACTGAGTACCCTTTAGTTCACAGTAAGATATCAAAGGCACGGCACTGGGTGTTGTGCTCAGGGCCGTAACTAGCCTCTTTTAAAAGTGAGTAAAAATATATAAAACATTTTCGGCGAAGGGTTTGGGGGCCACTAAAGGCCCCCAGAAGCTCTGGAAAAAATGACGCAAAATCGTGCATTCTGAGCGTTTCCCGGAACCTTTCTTAATCTAAAACGCAAGTTTTGTTTTAATTATTTTTTCGACAATATTCTGGTCTCAAAGCAAAATATATAGATTCAGTGTAAGACTTTTAGTTTTGGGGACAACATCAAAAGACCGATATGTAGGATAAAGCAAAAATCGTAATTCACATAGCTAAGTGTGTGGCTGCTGTTCTTTTGTCTTTTTTTGTTATTGAGTTTCGGCTTGCAGGAAAAACGTATTATACCTGTCAATTATGTTTTTTTCAAATTAAGTTAAGAGGGGGGCTGATTATCATTGATATAACTATATGTGAATTCAGTTTTTATAACACATTTCAATTACAACTTGATGTTGTTCCTAACTGGGATAGAAAGGGTACACTCAGGGTAGACCAAGGAACACTGTTCTTAAGACCTCATTGCTACATTTTTGTGCTGTTTTAATATGTATACTGGCTGATTAATGTCGGCTCTGTCTGTTCTGGTCTTGTACTGTGTTTAGACTTTGGTGTAATTTTTTGTGACTCTAAAATTTATTAATAGCTACTTTAAGTACCGCTTAAGTCGACGCTAGGGGCCGTCTTGACCTTGTTGTAGGGTATGAATGATTCGTTCATTGTTGAAGACTCTCCGGCGACTATCAAGATGAAGAACAGGAATAAAAGCCCTGTTCATTGATAATTGTATGTTTTTCTATGTATTGTGTGCGATTTTGTCCAATGCACTTTTACTCCATATCCCTTTTCTATTTAAGGGCCTGAAAACGGCTTAATGCAAGTTTACGCCCTTCAATGTAAAAGGTCATATGACAATACATTATTTTTCTTTTTAAATGATTTGATTCCGGGAGATTGGTTGTCTCACTTTAATTTTAACCCATGTCAGCTTTTAGTTAAACAGAAAAGAGAGTCAGTTTTGTTTTCTTTAATATAAAGTTTTAATTTTCCTTGAAAAAGCGACCAATGTTTCTATGTTCGGTAGCTTCGTATCTTCTCAAAACATTTTCTCCAACAATATCTGGACATGTAACATTGCCAAACCACACAAACGTTCACCCGTCATTACCGACCACTTCGACTATGCTTTTTCAATATTTTTTATTTGTTATTATCAATGTTGCAGAGTACATACCTTTTCATAG